CCAGCAGATGGAAGATTTATCTCTTCCCGTCTTTCAAACGAATAAATTTAAAAAAAGGGGGGAGGGGGTAAGGTCTGATTAGCCTCCCTGCTGTGTGTCCTTACGGAAGTTCAGTCAGCTCTCTGGGCGCGATGGCTCTACTTACAAAGTAATTCCCCTCACCAGCTCTCAGTAAACTTCCTACTCTGGCGTATCGGTGAAGCGCAGGAACGTTTTCATTCTGTGAGAAATCCATCCCCTGCCCCCGGCCGTCCCCCACCTCAGAGGAGCAAGCCGGGGCCAGATTGGAAAGTCCTAGACCCTCTTTAGATTCAGCAGAGAAATGTTTAAGGGATTTGCGCGCTCAAGCTGCGGGGTAAATGGCCCGCGGGCTGATTTATGGCGCGTTACTGCGCGACGCGATTCCCCAAGACAGCGAGAATATTTTACACCGCGCTAATATAAACAGGCGGCCGGCCGGGGCCTTTTTATGGAGTTCCTGTAATTACCCGGGCCCTGACAGGGCCTTGATTTACTGCCCTATTTAGATAAGGGGTCCGGTGCGGGGATTGTTCGTGGCGTCAAGGTCACGGGATGCGGCGGGAGAAGGTTTTGCGGTAGGCGCCGCGGCGCGGGCTTTCCAAGGCTTGCTAGTCCAGGGTAGGGGTGACAGCGAAAGAGGGAACGAGGCAGGGGAGGGAGCCTCCACACAGCCCCTGGGCTTGCTGGGGAAACTTGAAGTCTCCTGGTTCTTTGAGCAGCCACTGTACAGACTGGGGACCTGGGTCCTCCCCAACATCCTTTTAGGAAGGGAAATGGGTGTGGAGTAGGGGTTACCTGGAGCTAGAAATCGGGGTCTGGCTACCTAAGGGCCACCTGGTGCTGGCTGGTTTCCACCTCCAGCCTTCCCAGTGTTAAGGCTGAGGCAGCATACAGTGAGCAGGCAGGGTCAGGTCAGGCGCCCAGGGTGGAATCCATTGGCCTGGCTTCCTCTGCTTTACCGATAGAAAGCTGTGGTCTGCAGGTTCCTCTGATTCCCTTCCTACCCTCTGTGAAATGCGTGCTCCTAAAACAGCCGCTATTGATCCAGAATTAGAAGGGCTGATTTCACTTTACTGAATGCTAAGCCAACCCTGGGTGGATGGGGTGGAGCACACAATGACCCAGGAGTGCCTGAGTCCAGCGCTCCTTTAATCCAAACGTCTCACCTCTGTGCACTTAAGTTGATACGCTGTGAAACTTAGGAAGAGTCCCTGCTCTTCTGGAGGCTTCCGGAGGGTGATGGTAGGCAGAATGGAAAAAGAAGCCTGCTACTGAAAGTGCTAAGGGTTCTAACCTCCTGTAGGCACTCTCTAGGTTGTGAGGGCTGCAGGCTGGCTGGTAGATTCCCTGAGTCCCCAGCTCATGGTTCCTGGTCTTTAGAAGTGGGCCAGAGCAATGGAAAGGGTAGTTCCACTGAGGCCCAGGAGTGGGGCGCTAGGTCAGCATTAGGGAGGAACCAAGGCAGCTCGTGTAGCAGCAGCAGGCAGTTGGGAAGTCAGAGCTCCAGACTATATATTCTGTCCCCTTTGCAAAGGGGGCAGGCAACAGACTTGACCTGGACAAGACACAGTGAGGGGCTAGGGTGAGTCACAACTCAAATCTAGTGCCTAAGGCAGTGTTAGATGACCACCTACCATGGGGTCTGGGGCAGAGCGAGAAAAGATGTTTATCAGGTCCCACTTGTGCCGTTCTCACACACCTGAGCTTCTCCCCAACCTCCCATAGCCTTAAGAGCATGCTGAGGGCTCCTGAAAAGTGTATCTGGAGCCTTGGTGCCTCGCTGTCTTCCCTACATTCATTCTGATCTGCCATATCCAGCCCCAGCTCCAACCCCATCTCAGCTCCAGCCTCTGACATTAGCTCCAACCTCAGCCCCAGTCACAGCCCCAGCCTCAGCTCCGGTCCCAACTTCAGCTCCAGCCTCTGCCTCTGCCCTCGCTCCAACCTCAGCCCCAGCCCTACTTCAGTCACAGTTCCAGCCTCAACCCCAGCCTGAGCTCCAGCCTCAGTCACAGCACCAACTGCAGCTGCAGCCCCAGCCAGTGCTGGAGACTGCACCATCAGTGCGAGCATTACTGTACAAAGGACTTCGAATCTGAATCTAGGAAGGATGAGGAGCAGAGCGCTCAGTGACTACCCACATCCCACCGCCCCCAAACTTGACCCTCAATTCCCAACATATCTCAGGGTCCTCTTGGAGCTGGGGCTCCTCACCCAGTACTGACAATTCACTCTCCACTCCACTAACTAGCTATATCTGAAGAGCATGTGCAGCCCTGGGAGATAGATGTGGTTGGGGCCAGTGTCTGTGAACAAGTGAGGAGCTCAGTCAGTCAGTGTTTATGTGTGGGTGACTGTGCTTACTGTTTGTGAGGGCTTTGGTAATGTACACACCACAGTACTTTTTCACTTCCAGGGCCTGCGATCGCGACTTCCCTCTGAGAGGGAAGGCTCAGGATATGTACCTAAGTGTGGAGTGTGGAATTTGCGTGCCTATGTGTAACATGTCAGCCTGCGAGCATGTCTACTTGTGTGAGCGCCTTTGCAAATGGAATGCTAACCATGGTTTTGTCCTTGTGTGTGCTTGTGGGACCCACGGTGTAGCAGAGACATTGAGAATACAAAAATGTGGCATGGGGGCAGAGGAGGTGTTGGAAGTTTGTGGTTTGTGTACCTTTGCGGGGGCGGGGTGGGATTGCAAGAAATAGCAAATTGGTTGTACCTGTGTGAAATTTCTAAGATTCATGTAAAATGGTACTTCTGCCTGTTTCTTAGGGTGTGACTGCCGTCTTTGTGAGCGCCTGAGTGTGGAACTGGAAATGGCTTGGAGATGGAGCACGTCTGGCTTGTACCCTATGGTGACAGAGACAACATCTAAAATTTTAGAAATGAATGAATCTTGAATGTTTGGCGCAGAGGGTAAATGTGATCGCTGGGACACTACACTTACTTTGGGGGCGTCTGTATAGACAGGCTTGAGGAAGTACGGCTTGTTTCGCGTCCATGTGCTTGTGAAAAGCCATGGCTTCGAGCGCCCCAGTAAGAGGCTGCGGAGCGGTGGCCGTGCCCCGAATCAAGAAAAAGACTGTGTGTGCGTCTGCAGCACTGAGGTGCAGCTCCACCGAGTCATTACTTTCCACATCCGCACTCGTCTCAGGAACGCCTTTAGGCTGGAGAGGCGCGGGAACCCGTAGAGCTGGCGGAGCACCGGCGCTCGCTCCCCGGGAGCCTCTGGCTGTGCTCAACCCTAGAACTACTGGCGCCAGGCGTAGGGCGAGAGTCGGCTTTGCAGCCCGCCTCGGGCTGGAAATCCGGACCTTTCTGGCCCCGCTCCTCCGCCCACGGCACATCGGATCCTCCGTCGCGCCCAGCTCCCTCAGGTGGAACCTGTTGTCCCGTTCAGGAGTCAGCGTCCCATTCCCGAGCGCACCATTTTTCATTACGCCGCGGCGTGGCGTGAGTCCCTCCACTGAGCTGCACACTAACCTACTTGCAGGAAAACTCTTGGTCCGCTCCGCGCTGCACTCTTCTAGTCGTAATAGAAAACGGCCAACCGTCCCCTCTCGCCTTTTGACTAGTGACTTGTGCCAGGCACTTTGTGGGCAGCAGCAGTTGTTGAGTGAATGGATAAATAACGCGTCTGCCCTCTGAAAAGAGCCCCTGAGTGGATCATCTTTCAGGCGCACATCTTTCTTTACTGTTCTTGAAAGGCGCAATGCCTTGCATCCTGGCCAGGGAAGGAGCGAGGCGCAGGGACAAGAGTGGCAAAGATGGAGGGTTCCCGGAGTTGAGCAGGGAAGTTAGTGTAAGGCGAAGTAAGACCTGGCCCTCCAGTTTGCATTGTCACTGCCCGGAGATTGCCGGGTTCCCACGTCAGCCCCGGGGAAAGCCCACTAGGAGACTCGGGCACGCCAGAGCAGTCTGTACGAAGTCACCTCGCAGTGCGCGTGAGACGGCCCGAGCCGCGCCAGCCTCGTGGATGCACGCATCGTGGTCCGTGCCGCAGCAGGTTTGCGGCAGAACCGTGCTGTCTGGCACAGTTGGCTTACTGAGTCAAAAATTCTCAGAGTGGGGGCGGCCCCGCAAAGCCGAGCCCCCGGATTCTGTGCCAGAACTGCGGGAAGAGATGCTTGGAGTCCTGCGGGGTAATATGACCGAGGACCCAAGCCGCCGCCGGAGGGCTTCAGCGTCAGCCGCAGCCGCCCATCAGGCGCGCCTAGGAGGCTGGAATCGGGGATCTCAGCGCTCCAGCTTGCAACGAACCAGAAACACCCATGGACTTGGAGTTTGCCTAAGCATCCCCGTCCGGTTAACCCCCAGCTCCACCCCGTCTCCAGCCTCTGAAATGGCTCCTAGGCTGGCTGGTTGCCGGCCTTTCTGCCCAGGACAAGGCTAGAACTGGTGGACTTGCAGCCAGGGCAAGCACGTATGGCTCCCAATCCGGCAAGAAGGGGCGGATGGCGAAGACAGAGTCGGCGGGGGTTCGGGAAGAACATCGTGGCCTAACTTCTCCCCGCCCCGCCAAGCCGCGTCTTTTCTTCCACCCGCGACGCGGAGCCACGCATTGGTAGCTCCAGAACGAGACCGGCTGGGAGTCCTCTTCTGAATTATAGAAACATAACCCTTGTTTTCTTTGGGCCTTGGTTTCCCTGCCTGTAAATTCGAGGGGTGGGCTGTAGAAGACCTTTTCGCTCCTGGATTCCAGATTCCGGTCCGTGGGTTCGCGGATAGGGTGGTAGCCACAGGCCCGAACGCTGGCGGGCCCCAGCTTCACGCGTCCAGCCGCTACCACCCCCCTCCCCCCCGCCCAGGCGCTGGGAACTGGGGGAGGGGCGGAGGCGGGGCGTCTCTGCTGTCCCCGCAGGCCGCTCCGAGTGGCGTTAGCAGAGCGTAAAACCTGGGACGGCCACCCCCCTTTCTACTCCTCCCCGCCCCCCTGCCATTGGCTCTCGGTAGAGGTTGACTTCAAAGCCGCGGCCTTATATAAACCGGAGCCCGAAGCCGAGTCCGCAGAAGGGTTAAACAGGTCTTAGGGCATCGCTCCCGCGCCCCGGACCAAGACCCGCAGGAAAGCAGAGAGCAGCACGTCTGGTCATTATCCTTGTCCCCAGACTCCCCTGAAGCCTGCACCTAGCAGGGCGCGGCCCCAGAGCCCACCGGTGGCTAAAGTAGTCTCTGGGGCGCATGGGGCGGCGTTAATCGGGCTGGCGGCGCAAGCCAAGAGCCGCTCCAAAATGAACCTCGTGGGCAGCTACGCACATCATCATCACCATCACCACGCGCATCCCACGCACCCCATGCTCCACGAGCCCTTCCTCTTCGGCCCGGCCTCGCGCTGTCACCAGGAGAGGCCCTACTTCCAGAGCTGGCTGCTGAGCCCGGCTGACGCGGCCCCGGACTTCCCTGCGGGAGGGCCACCGCCCACAGCCGCTGCGGCCGCCGCCACTTACGGTCCTGACGCCAGGCCTGGCCAGAGCCCTGGGAGGCTGGAAGCGCTGGGAGGTCGCCTGGGCCGGCGGAAGGGCTCGGGACCCAAGAAGGAGCGGAGACGCACAGAAAGCATTAACAGCGCGTTCGCAGAGCTGCGCGAGTGCATCCCTAACGTGCCGGCTGACACCAAGCTCTCCAAGATCAAGACTCTGCGTCTGGCCACCAGCTACATCGCCTACCTGATGGACGTGCTGGCCAAGGATGCCCAGGCGGGAGATCCCGAGGCTTTTAAAGCTGAACTCAAGAAAGTGGATGGCGGCCGAGATAGCAAACGGAAAAGGGAGTTGGTGAGTCCTGAGACCCAGCTGCTCTAGCGGGAGTGGCGGGGGGGGGGGGGGGGGGGAGGGGGGTCGGTCGGGGGGGGGGAACTGTGCTGTCTCCTGAGATGTTTTTGAAAGGCTACAGAGAGTTCTGAGATGGCCTCCATATCTGAGTGTGTGTGTGTGAGAGACAAATTCATAATTGACTTTATCTGTAATGTGGGATAGGCTCAGGGAACCAGAATCTTAGCCCTTTGGGATTGATTCTCAGGGCTCTGTTAAGAATCCATTGAAAACCTCTGCCAAAGGGGAAATGCACACACACTGGGCACATTACTCCTTTTTGGACAGGTCCCGATCCATCCCTGGGCTCTTCTGGAAGTCAGGTTAATAGGAATGTGGGTAGGAGTATATGGGCTTGCTTAAATATGAGTGTTTGCGGCTGTTACTGTTTTAAAGGCTCATTGCTGTAGATCAGTCCTCAGTACTGAGGCCAAGAGTGGAAAGGGGTGTCAGAGGTGAAGCTGGGGTGAGACAAGTCAGTTCTTTCACTCCTTTGCAAGAGAGCACCCAGGAGGCTCCTCTCTTCAGGGCCCGGGGACTGATTTCGCAGGCAATCTCCATGGCTTGGCACATCCCCAGCACCCCCTCCCAACTTATTTTTGGCTTTGGAAATCCCTTCTCTTGGAAATCCCTTTCTTGCCTCCCCTGGTGTAAGGGCGAACCTTTTTGGCACTCAGTTTTGCTACTCAGGAAGGCGCTGGATGGGTGCAGAGATTTCTGGGCTAGAAAACTGGTTTCCCCACATTGGTACCTCCAGGCCAGGAGCAGCCCCGTTCACTTGGGTTTTATCTGACTGTAGTAAAGTCAGGAGAAAAGGAGAAGCTTGCCGGCCTGGGACCAGGTTGAAAGGCAGATAGCCATCGGGTCTCTGACTGCTGCCTTAGGCTGGGGGAGAGGCTGGCCGCGGTGGCGCCAGGCTGTAAGTTCTGGGGGCAGATCCCGATCCCTCTCCTCGAGCCTACCTCCTTCTGGGAGCCTTGCTTGGATTCCTGCTGGGAGAAGGAAAGAGGAGGATAGGCCAGGCTGACTCCCCTTCCTTCCGGAGCTCTAGCTCAAAATGGACCCAACTCCTTGAATCACGCTGGAGAGTCAGTGGTTGGGCACTGTGTGCATGGAGTGGGTAAAGACCTGCTGATAGCTAGCCCTCCTGATCCCACCCTGCTGATATCTTCTGTAGGCACCGCAAGGGCCTCAGGGTGCGGCAACAGTGTCACCAGCCGCACAGAGGTCTCCTTACCCAACCTTCCCAAGTCGTGCATCCCATCCCGGGTCCCAGGAACTTGGCATGCATAAAGGCTAATTTATGAGCCTGTTTGCCTATTTTGCAAACAGAAATCCGTCACTTATTTAAAGACTCCCGACACCTATTCCCCCAGTCACTCCACGTAGGGTGATTGGAGCAGAAATATTTCAATCTTCTCTTTCTCTTCCTCCCCTCTTCTCCTGTGTCATCCCTTCAGCAGCAGCAAGAAGGCTTCCCTCCGGCTCTGGGCCCTGGAGAAAAGAGGATGAAAGGGCGCACCGGCTGGCCGCAGCAGGTCTGGGCTCTGGAGCTGAACCAGTGAGCTGAGCCCTGAGCCAAGGACGGGCCACGGCTGGCCAACGACCCCCGGGGCCTCAGGAACATAGGACGGCGGTGGGCGGCGAAGTCCAGGCTCTGGGTTGCGGCCGGATTGTGGGAGCCTCTGCTGAATGCTGGCCGGTTGCCTGCTGCAACCACACACTTGGATCGCACGTGCAATGTCATTTGAAATTGTTTTTAATACATTAAGAGAAAGAGAAATATATATATCTATATCTATATATATATCCACCTCCTTTGAGGGTGGTTCTTGGAGGCTCAAGGCAGCAGCAGCAAGGACACTGAGGAGCCAGGCGCCCGAAGATGCACCCTACCCACCCTTCTGGGATGAACTGTGACAGCCTAGTGCCAAGGCCATCCTGCCCTTCTTTTGGCTTTCTCTCCACCCTCGTCTCTTATTAAAACACAGTAAGAAGAACCCGTGGTTCTGGCTGGGGAAGAGAACCAAAAGCAGGAAGATGGAGAGTTCCCTTTTGTTGTTTTCCTTTCCGCAGTAGCATTTTATTTTATTTTATTTTGTGGCTGCATTTCCTACTTAGTTCCAAGGGAAACACACACTCTCTTTTCTTATTCTTTCTCCTTTTATTTTCTTGATTCTTTGTAAATAAAAACTTACCCATGTCGGGAAGTTTTTATGTATTTAAACTACCTAAAGTGCCTGTTGCTCAGGTGTTTGTCTAATGCCTCCATGCCCACCCCTTTTCTACCTCAAAACTGTATGGCCACTCACCGTCCTCCCTTTGCCAAAGCAGTATCTATGCTCTTGATTAATAATAATAATAAAAAAAAAGTTTTCTGAAATTTCCCCAGAGCCTATGTGATGTCTCTGCGGGCTCCAGAGCAGAGCCCCAGTGCTCTAGCCCCTGCTCCAGGGGTAAACACCAAATCGAAGTGAAGGCAAGAAGGCTCAGAGCAAAGCCAAACCCAAACCAAGAAGCAACTTTCTCCTCATAGTGCGAACACAGACGGATGACCTACCTGAATCCGGAGACTGGATCCACAGTCCCTACCTGCTTTGTGGGTTAGTAGGCATGCTGCCACATGCACACAGTGGTTTGGGTAAGGAAGGGCGCCTATCCCATAAGGAAAGAACATTTGCAGGGCCATGTGGCTCGTGGCTTGGAAGCGGGGTGTAGGCTCTGGAATCTTTCTGGAGCCTGTGAAATTCTGAACTTGGAGGCTGGGCACCACCCTTATGAGACCGAAGGCTGTGCAGGGAGCTACAAGAGTGGGCTTAGCACAGCTCCCAGCAGGCAGGAAACTGGAACCAGCGGTGGCCACTGTGATTTTATGGATATGTAAAAGAAGCTTGGAGGCGATTATGCCTGCATGCAAACATTTTGGTTTCTCTCTGGCCACAGAGCATCCCCCAGGTTCATGAGAGCCCATGGACTTGTGCAAAGAAAGAGAATGTCTGCTGGCAATCTGGTTCTGATGCCGGATAGCGACCTCTGAGTCCCCCCATGCACACCCTTGCCTGGCTGTGCGAGTGAACAAATTTGCCCAGGAGCAAGCATGTGAGTTGGGCTATGCTGGGGGCAGATAAACAAGGGTGGTTATGTTTTCGTAACAATAATGGGTAAATACCGAGTTGAGTAAGCATGTGCCAGTACCTCCTAACGCTGACTTGCTGACTTGGATTTCCAACACTCCCCGCTGAGGAGGTGGCAGGGGGCGCACAGTCCTGCAGCGTTTCCACTCTACATCCCTGGGCTGGGCGTTAGCCTCAGGGACCAGAAGGGAGGCACTGGGCAGCTCTAGGGTCCTTATTATTGCAGCATAGGCGTGCCTCAGACGCCTCACCCGGGCATGGGGTGAATATGGGGCCCTATTAGCCTTGGCTATAAACACCATGGCAGGAGCTGACAGTCCACCCGGGTCTTCTCGGACACGAACGAGTTAATAAAAGATGGGGGAAGTGAGCGTCACCCTACGTCTTCCCCACCCCGTTACCCCTAGTTTGTTCTTTATTCCCTCTAGTCCCGCAGCCAGATCAAAAAGGCCTGCAGTTTAACGAGGGCAACACCTCGCGGTAATGAGCCGCTGCAGCACGCACCCCTCCCCCGGCCTCAGCCCTAAGGGCCTCCTCTGGGAAGAACACACACCACAAAAAGAAAAGTTTCTAAACGTTCCAAGAGGGTTTAGAAATCAGAAGTCTAGAAATCCTGGAACACAAGGGGGAAACTGAATCCCAGTGAGCCAGTGATCTAAATTCCTCCCCACCCCTGCCCCCAGACCTAGTGTAGATTCGAACCCAGGACTAGTGTAGATTCGGACAGACCTCCAGGGCTATACATAGGGTCCAGCTCCCGTGGTTATTTTTAGCTGGGGGAAGTATCCCAGGCACGGGAGGAATGTGCACCCGTGTGCTTTCCTTGCTGGTGAAGCAGTAGGATACTGAGGGGTTCAACGGCCACTGCAACAGGGAACCCTCCTCCTCTGTCATTTGCCAGAGATGGAGCTCCAGCCTGACTTAATCCCCAGGTCAGACCCTGAGCCTGGGAACTGGTGCCCAAAGGGATGTTTGCCCACCTTCCTCCCTCCCCCTGCCACCAACCCAGGCCTTCACTCCAACAAGGAACCAAGGAATGAAGGACTTGAGCCCTGTCCTAGGCCCTCAGGGCACAACAGGGAAGCAGAGCCACCAGTTTAACAAGGGTCCTACTCCCTCACTCCACCAGCTCCCATCCTGCTCTGTTAGCTGAATCTTTCTTATTCTCAGTCCAGGATTCCTCAATCCTGAAGAGGCCATGTGATTATTCTTTCTGAATTAAATATGTAATTAAAAAAAAGCTATTTATTTTATTTTTATTGCAAAGTCGACACAGAGAGAGGAGGAGAGACAGAGAGGAAGATCCTGTCTGATGATTCACTCCCCAAACGACTGCAAAGGCTGGAGCTGAGTCAATCCTCCAGGTCCCCCACGTGCGTGCGTGCAGAGTCCCAAGGCTTTGGGCCGTTCTGAACTGCTTTCCCAGGCCACAAGTAAGGAGCTGGATTGGAAGTGGGGCTGCAGGGATTAGAACTGGCGCCCACATGGGATCCTGGGTATGCAAGGCGAGGACGTTAGCTGCTAGGCTACTGTGCTGGGCCCAAATATGTAATTTTTTTTTTTTTTTTAACATAGGGGGAAATCAGTGTGGTATTGAACTTAAGAATAAATTCCAGAATTTATCATGGTACAAAGCTTTGACTACAGGCCTTTTTGGAGAGTGAGAACTAGGGATGGATCCCCACAAACTGTAATTACAGAACTGGTTAAAGAAATCCTATTGAGTTACCACTCACTTGCTAGGGGAAAAAATGTGAGAACTGAATGCAAATTCCTCACGATGCATGGAGCAGAAAGCTCCTCCTGCATTGCTAAATATTGTCCATGGTGAGTGCCACATCAAGGATAAATAGATAAACAGCCATGGAGAAAAAAGTGGAGTCTTAAAACATTCATATTTCCACTTCTGACTTGTGGGAGAGAGGGTGATTTTCACTTCTCCTCCTGCTTAGCTATATTTTTCCAAATGTTGTTTTTACAATGAATATGGATTTACTTTTACAGTAAAAATTAAGCTGCGACTTCCTCCTAATTTTTCCTGCTGCCAGCACACTTAGATTGCGTTCTCATGTTTATTCAACAATCGTTTGCTCCCCACGTGCTCCTCACAGGACAATATAAATGACTAAGAAAAAAGTCCTGGTAGTAACTAGTCATTAACCTGTAATGGTAATTATCTTGAAGACCATGCTGTTTGCTTCAACACAGGAAATTGTTTTTGCTTTTTTTTTTTAAACATGTAAACCCTTTTGATAAATGCCATTATAATAATAGTTACCATTCAGAAAAGGAATGGTGTAAACCCTGAGGTGGCATTATTTCATAGAACCCTCACAAGGGCTCTGTGAGATTGACGTGGAGGCATGGGAGCTCAGAGAGGTGGAAGACTTCACTCAAGGTCATTGAGACCAAGAAAAGCAGGCTTGGATCAACATGCAGTTCTGCGAGTGGTTAGAGCCCTGGCTTTTCTCTATACCTTGGAGCACCTCCAGGGTGTGTGTGTGTATATGCACGCGTGCATATGTGCACCCAAATTCTGCTTCTCACAATCCAGTGCTCCTTGTTCCTCACAGTATGTAGAAAAAGAAAAAGAGGAAGGATGTACTCACCAGAGTGTAGGGTTTGACCACCAGCCTTCTGCCTGGAACCTTCTTTCCATGCTAGGTCTCCGAGTGGCTCCATCTATAAAATGAGGCAGAGGGTGGGCTCCAAGATCTGGAGATGCTTTTCTGACTACCTAATTGTGATGCCCAGAATTGACTGTCTGCTGGGGATAACTCAGTACAATGTGGGATCCTGGCTGCAGCCTCTGGCATTGGCACAACACATTCTCCTGTCCACGTGCTCGCATACTCCTACTAGCACGTTTTCTTCACCACTGGCTAGAAGGCAGCTGGGGCAGGAGATTCATGGAGGTGAAGTGACCAGCTTAGGGTGCCAGAGCCCACTGAGCAGGGTGACAAGGTGGGCCGGCAGGCTTCAGCTCCGGGGCTCTGGAGAGGGTCAGGGGAGAAAACCCCGCTGTGTGATGGCTCTCTTCAAGCCACTAACAGTTGAGCTAATGATCTTGCCTAATCCTCGTAAAAGAAATGAAACTAAGGAATCAGTCAGCCTCATTTTTAAATGAAAAGTGACTGGGAATAAAAAAAATATGCACCCTCTAAAGTGTCTGAAACTAGACTCCTGATTTAAACCCAATTTGTTTGGAAAAAAAAAATTTTTTTTTCCAGTGGAGAGAGTTTTTACAGCTGAGCACTCCCAAACCCATAAAAAACAAGGTTTATATGGGAAATGGTGAAAGACTCTTAACTATAATACACAGCGTCTAATGTAAGCAGACAGAAACACTATATAAAGCTCCTACAAATGTTATTACAACAAACAGAAAAGCACATTTATCCCCACAGAATGGACAACGGAAGGCCAGAAAG